TTTTTTTTTTTTTAAAAAGAAAAACATGACTCACAATGAATTACTCCCCACAATGAATTACTCTAGGGTTTATAAGGTACTACGCCACCAGAGCTCCCATTTAAAATACAGGAAGCATAATGCAATACTACTTTTCAGGTATAGTACCAGTATAATAATGAACATTCAGAAATTATCGTATGTCTGCATTGAGAAGTGAGAAGCCTATTGCTAGATTTTAAGGGTTTACGTCAATACTGAAGGAGTCCTGGTGGTGTAATGGTTAAGTGCTTGGCTGCTAACCAAAAGGTTGGCAGTTTGAACCTTGCAGCCTCTCTGTGGGAGAAATATATGGCAGTCTGCTGCTGTAAAGATTTATAGCCTTTGGAAACCCTGCGAGTCGGAATTGAATCCATGACAGTGGGTTTGGTTTTTCTATTTTTTTTTGTGTGTCAATATCTACTTGCTGTTATTTGTAAGAAAAAAGAACCTGAATTACTATCAACTTGCCTTTCTGCATAGAAATCATAAGGTTCTAGTGTCACAATGTCAACAGCAGATAGCCTCTGTCTAAAGACTTCATCTGTAAATCAAATTCTTTTTGGTCACAGGCAAAACAAAACAAAAACAAAGCAACAAAAGGAAAAAAAAACAATGCACACTAAATATCCAATGTCATTAACAAAAGTCTGATTTCTATAGGCTAATGGGGGTGAGGATGCGGGAGGCAGTTACCTAATAACTGCATCATTAATGAGAGTTGGGCACAGTCACAGCTCATTGCCTCCTTCTACCTTTTTTAAAAAGTCTTTGATAAATTAAGATCCCTGGAAGCTGCTATGTTAGCCCAGTGTTATTTTCATATATGCTGAACCTACATGATGATGGTGGGAGAACCAAACTCAGAGGCTGAAAGAAAATCCATTTTAACTGGGAAGATATTCTGAAGCACATAAGTAAAGAAACCAGTGCTTAGCTCCATTTTATAAATTTTATCTAGAAAGAAGTGAAATTTGTTAAACAGGGCATTACACTGTTCACATGGCTATTAAAGCACTGCAAATCATATACTATTCTCTGAACAGGCACAGTCACTTTTATTCATTCAACTCCATAAATATCCAGAAACACAGAGGTAACTGCCACTTCCTGATGGGGCTCCGAAGATAGATCCCTATACGTGCGAATACAGGATCGAGCTCAAGCTTTAGAGTTACCAGAGATTTTTAAGGAGACACACACACACACCAAACCAAATACACAGCCATGGAGTCGGATCTGACTCATAGTGACCCCTCCTTGGGTTTCCAAGGCGGTATCACTACAGAAGGAGATTGTCCAACCTTCCTTCTGAGGAGTGGCTGGTGGGTTTGAACCACCAGCCTTCCAGTTAGCAGTCAAATGCCTTAGGCACTACGCCACCAGAGCTCTCTATGTATGTATGTATGTATGTGTGTGAGTGTGTGTGTGTATATATATATATAATTTATATACTTCTTTCCTTCAACACACTTAGACTGGAACATCATCATCCCTGTGTCTTTGATCTTGCTTAAATAAAGTGGGAATGGCAACCAAGAAACAGGTAGAGGAAAGCGCCACATTTGCGGCCCTCTTTTTCTCTAGAAGCAGCTCTGGTGGCACAGTGGTTAAAGCATTCAGCTGCTAACCAAAAGGCTGGTGGTTCGACCCCATCAACCTCTCCTAGGGAAAAAGATGAGGCGTCTGCTTCCAAAAAGATTTACAGCCTTGGGGCAGTTCTACTCTGTCCTATAAGGTTGCTATGAATAGGAATTGACTCGATGGCAGTAAGTTTGGAGTTCTGGTTTCTCTAAAAGAAAAATTGCTCTCAAATAGCTCCTACATTTAAACAGAAAGCAAACAAGAGGAGGATGTGTTCAGGTGATAGATATCAGCATATTCAGCAATGAAAAGGTTAAGAACCAGGCACAAATTTATAAAACTCTGTGGACTGGTAAATTTTACGTGTTTCTTATTGAAACATGTTTTTTAATGAATGATCAACTCACATGGTGTTAAGGTCTCAGGAAGTGGAATCAGATCTGGGTTCAAATTATGACTCTATTCAACCATAGACAGGTTACTTAATCTTTCAGTTTATTCAAATGTAGAATGGGGATAGTAAGTAAAACAAAATTAAAGTGTGCCTATACTCCACTGCTGTTAAGATTAAATATTAAAACACATGTAAAACACTTGATGTCGTATCTGGCACACAGTAAGTACACAGTAAATGTTGAATATTAATATGATTATATATTTAAGGGCCTATATTATACTGTCAAGGAGCTCTGGTGGCACTGTTAACCAGAAGGTTGGCGGTTCAACCCCACAGCTGCTCCATGGAAGGAAGATGGGGTAATCTACTACCATAAATATTTACCACCTCAGAAACCCAACAGAGGTCGCTATGAGTCAGAATTGACTCAATGGCAGTGAGTTTTTTTTTTTTTTTTTAATTATACCGTCAGACGAGACACCATGACTCATGATTCTTAGACAGAGGGAAAAATTTGTGTCAGGATGGGTTGTTGTTGTTGTTGTTATGTGCTGTGGAGTCGGGATTGGAGGAATCTTTAATTTGAACAGAAGAATCCAGGGGTTTAATTTGAATAAAAGAAGCTATTATAATTAATGGCACCACTAAAGCAAAATATATTGTTTGCCTGCCACTGTTTTAGTTATATAAATTAGGCAGCATCTCACGCTTACTATTTAAAATTAATACCTCTTTTGGATAAAGAGAAAAGAGGTGACCTGTAAAAAGGCAACATGAATAGCAACACAGAAATTAACTCCCCCCCCCCCATTAAGGCAATAAAGAGAATTAGACAGCATTCAAGTTACACTCCATTCAAATTATTACTATTTTTCTTCTTGTAAGTAATGGTGGGAATTACAGCCTGGGTGGTGCAGTGGTTAATATGCTCAGCTCTTAATGGAAAGGTTGTATTTGAGTTCACCCAGTAGCACCTTTGAAGAGAGGCTTGGTGATCCACTTACTTACTCCAAAATTCAACCATCGAAACCTATGGACCACAGTCCTAGTCTGACACATGTAGTATTGTCATGAGTTGGAACTACTCCACAGCAACTGTTTTTTCAAACTAAGAATAAAGTCAAGTAGGAGCGGGATGGACATTAACTATAGACACAGAAAGAAACAAAACTATAGAAAAGCACCCCTTTATACAGGGCTAGGATTAGCCATGAAGTCTGTCACTGAAAACTGATTTTGTGATATACAGGATGATAGTTTATACAAAGATTATGGATTTTAATTTAATTTTTAAAGCATGCAAATGTACCTGCTTCTTTTAAAATGCTGCATTTCTGATATATAGATGTCCGCATGGTAGGCGCCCTTACATTATACAGTCTCATCTTCTCAATACGAGAGTCAAAGACTCGAAGCAAAGGATCTTTCTCTTCCCATTGAGACATAATTTTATTATCAATAAAGGTGGCAAACATCTGTGTTTCAATGAAGCGTGAAAGAAACGGTAGGTAAGGCTCAGGCTGGTCAGACAGAAAGGAAGCCTGTAATGAAATTAGGAAATTATTAGTGCAAGGAGACCATCTCAATACCTTGAGACTATCCAAAAATTATCTAGTGCTAAGGTGGGTTTTTTTTTCCCCCATCTTTTAATCTTATGACACAAAACTGATCCCTGACATTGAAAAATCCACATTTTCTTTCTTCTAACTTCACAGCATTTAGGACACATAAGTCTTCAGTACTGATTCTACCTTTCAAAACTAATTTACATTCTGATCCTCATGACTATTATGCAGAAAAGAGGGCATCATTAATGAGAGATGGTAGGTAAGTTGCTATGTGATCATCAATCATCCACTTTACTTACCGTTAAATTTTGATCTTTCCCCAGTGAGCTGTTAATTTCTTCTGCTGTCTATTCCTAGCCTATGCAATGTACCTCCAAGCCATAGAAAGTGACATAAATAACTGATACAGTAATGATATATACATTAGCAATAACCTTGAACAAACAGCCATGGAATTTGTGCTTATAGGTGAAATCTTTTGTATTCTTTTTCAACTGGATGTTTTTCCAAGCCCCAGTCTGTTAGAAACTGATGGATACATGTTAATTCAAGATTAAACTCTTTCCAGATCTGTGCTGACACTGTCCTATAGGCCTTAACAACTAAAAAGAGTTACCTTTAAAGAAAAGCCTTTCAAAAACATGTACAATAAGCTGCACTTCCTGTTACCAACTTGTTTACTGAATGGTTCAGTAAATTGTAATCAAAGGTATTCATTTCTTTCCATCATTATCCAGATCCATATTTGTACAGGAATTCTAATCTCAGTTTGGTCCTAGCTGAAATTTGGATGTGAACTACTATTTCAGTTGTTGGGATGGTTTTGCTTTTCATTCTTTTGAGTAGATCCAGTGTGGTAGCGACCATAGGGGAAAGAAGGAAAGGTAAATTCTGACATAAGGCTATTTCCCTTAATACTCATCAGTTTCTTCCTAGCGTATTTATTTTCCATTTTGAAAATCAGCAGGACTTTTTAACTTCCTTACAGAAACCCTTTTATTCACTTTACTTTCCTCCATAGTTCAGATTTATTTACAGAAATTGAAAGGCACAATAGTCTCAAGAAATGAGTTCACTTCTTCAAAAGACCTTTTACAGAAAAATATCAATTGTACTTTTTATAGAAAAAATAATGCCTCTCCTTTTAGAATGGGTGGAACGCTTGGCTTTTTGTACCCAGACCCCCATATCATTTAAGGTCAGCAAGGATATAGCTTGAAAGACTAGTATATGACAGCCCTAGAAAATCTTCCTAGTAAAAAACGAGATGATTACAATTCTTCCAGAATCCAATATGAAACTTTCATTTCCCTAAGGAATATATAAAAAGAATTCCACTTATAGTTTGAAGTCACATAAAGATTAAGAAGGAAAAAAGTACCAGCTCTCAATTTAGGTAGGAATTTGAATTTGAGTTGAATTTGAAGGGTAAATCAGAAATATACACAGATTAGTTCCAAGACGGATAGAAAAAAATGGAAAAATGATTAAGTTCAATGAGAAAGGAACCTAAGAAAGAGCAGGACTACATCTGGAGAAGTGAAGGCTTTTTAATTTATTAGAAATTTTCTTAAACAGAACATTCATCAGACCTCAATAGCTCAAGGTAGTATATTATCTTCTGCCAGAGAAAATAGCTGATGAAATCAGTAAATCTCTGAGACTATCCACTTTTATATAATTTTTTAGTTAATCCTTATTTGTCAGATGTTACAGATTGGGAGACTATAGATTAAGCTCTTGGGGTATTTTAAACCCCCTGATACAGATCTTTTATGACACAAAGATACCACTTAGCAAAAAGTCATATATTCATTCTAACCTGCCCTGGTAATCAGAGAAGCAGGGGACTACACTAGACCTTGGTGATCTGAAAGAGTTAATGCACATCCATAAGTGCTTTTGTTGGAAAATACATCCGAGGATATATCAAGAAAGCCTAGCAGAACAAGGTCTGTTAGCTTCTGAAAGAAGAATATTCTATAGTAAACCATAAAAAGCAGCTTCAGCTTTTTAAACTATAACAGAACAATTGAAAGCTGGTGCCATTTTCTGTCTTCTTTACCTAAAACTTAGGTATAGATCCTTAGATTTAGAATCCTAAAACTGAATTTGTTTACTTTTATCCTTACTTTCTAGAACAAGTTCAAAATTTGGCTTCTGAAACTAAACTGCTTATCACTTTTACAGGGACAAGTTGTGACTTCATTATAGGATAAAAATAAGATATAAGAAAAAGGATTTATTAGAAAAGGAACAGGCCTCATTTAACTAGCCTGATCATAATGTAATAGTAAACAAAATCCTTGCAAGGTCAGATAGTGCTAACCGATTTTAAAAACCTGTGAAATTTAGATGTTTCCATAATTCAAGAATTACTGAAATATAGAAAATTAATAAATGAGATTATAGGCAATTTAACATACAATTTAGGACCAGCTTAACGAGCCACCTGATTCGCTTTCTTGTGAAATTACTTTATCTAATGTAAAATACTAATACAGTTCTTAATGGGAAAAGTTAACAAAATCAGTACTACAGTCTACTGAGATCCAAATAAGAAGGAAAACTATAGTTCTTTTTACTTTGTCAAAGTTCTGCATCTGTTCCCGATTGGTAAGCCAGGATTCCATGTCCTGGGCAGTCTGAATCACAAAAGCTTCATAATCTGCAAACATCTGTGTGAAGCGATTAGCAAAGACCTCTCGGAGTTGTACATTGAGTTTATAGTCCCTCAGTTCTGTCTCTTCACACTGTAGTTTTAAATCTTTTTCTTTTTCACCCACTGAGGCAGGGAGGTCCATTTTTTCTACAGTCACACCGGTCCTCTTAGCTAGAGCCTGGAGGCGAGCTATGGTTTCATTGCCCTTAAGTAACTCATACATGCTGATGTTGTTAGTGGAGACATTGCCATTCTTCTTGTCATTGACCAAGTCTTTCAGAACCAGATTCTTCAGTTTGGTAGCACTCTCACTGCAGTGTAGGATACCCTCAGGAGGAATCCCAAATTGAAGAAGAACTTCAGAGAGTTCCTGGATGAAATCCACCTTATTGGGAAATTGTGGAAATTCTTCAGGCAATTCAATAAAATGGTTGTCAATATCCACAAAACACAAATTAGCCTGAAAGGGATAAAAAGAAATATAAAGAGTTCAAAATAAAGGAAGTCTATGCTCCAAAATATTCTTGCTAACTATTATAAATAAAAGCATAGATTATTACACTGCCTTTTATGTCAACCATCTCAAGGTTCAGGATATTTTATTTTTTAAAAATAAATCTCTTTTGCCAGCATTTTCCCCTATGTGAACATTTTTATACCACAGTTCTACAGTAAAACCTGTGAGAGCCAGAGCTTGACAGGACTGTCTTGTTTTTCTGGATTCACAAGTTTTCTACCTTCGACAAGGTACAGTCATACCACTTTTCTCTAGCTCATTTTAGGGAAAATATTTGTGTTTTCTTTCTCCAACAAGTTTCTACCTTACACAGGTTCCAGATTATATTGTATGTGAATAGTCTTCTCTGGATCTCAGCAATTTAATATAATCTGGACAAGATTCTCTGGTATTTGGCATCCATTTAACAACAACAACAAAAAAAAAACATGCCATTGCCATTGAGTTGATTTAGATTCAAGTGACTCTACAGGACAGACTAAACTAGACTGCTCTACAGTGTTTCCTAGACTGCAATCTTTATGGAAGCCAATTGTCACAATTTTCTCCCAAGGAGCAGCTGGTAGGTTTGAACTACTGACCTTCCAGTAAGCCGCCAAGTGCATCCATTAGCACTGCTAAATGAGTAAAAGCACACAAATTCATGCCGTTGGTGCTAGGTGCTGTTGAGTCAGTTCTGATTCATCGTAGCGACCCTCTGTACAACCAGACCAGGCAGCTGGTCCTGTGCCATCTTCACAATCATTGCTACGCACAGACTCAAAACTCAATAACTAACTCAATAATGCCTTCAAGTTGGTTCTGACTCATAGTGACCCCCATTAGGTTTTTGAGGATATAAATCTTCATGGAAGTAGACTGCCTCATCTTCTTTCTGCAGTTGGTGGGTCTGAAATGTTGACCTGCTTGGTTAGCAGTCAAATGCCTTAACCACTACGCCACCAGAGTACTTTACAAATAGGAAGCACAAGGTGAAATGATTACTGAATGAGCTTGAAATTTCTATCACACTGCCTTAACACCATCAGCAACAGAAATAACAATAATTGTTAAACCAAAAGAAAAACACAAAACAAAACAAACTCACTGCCATCAAGTTGATTCCTACTAACAGCGACTCCCATTGGGTTTCCTAGGCTTTAAATCTTTACAGAGGTAGATTGCCCCATCTTCCTTCTGCAGAACAGCTGGTGGGTTTGAACCACCAACCTACTGGTAAGCAGTCAAATGCCTTAGGCACTACTCCACCAAAGTTCCTTATAATTGCTAAATTGGGATGAAATCAGCAAGATCAATCCAACTCACAGATAAATCATACATTTTCATTTTATCTAAAATTAGCCTCAACTACCTGGATAGCAAAGTCGTTTCAGAAGCCATTATACAAACAGCAGGAGGCAGAGAAAGCTGGTAGAGGCAAGTGCTAAGATAATAACAAATGACTAACCCTTGAATAATTAGTATTGATTCAAAAGACACTTCTGAGTTGAGAAAAAGAAGTGACAGAAATTTGAGGAAACTTTTTTATTTCCTTAGACTCTGGATTTTGAATCACAGGCAAGGCAGAATAAAAAGACATTTAAATATTTTTCAAGTTACATGTAGAATACTCAAGGGGCCAACTACCTACATGAATTATCATCATCCTTCAGGTACCTGATCATAGTAGACTCCAAGACAGTATTTTACCTTTACTGTCCATAGCCTCTTAATCAGAACAAGGGTGTCAAAGGGAAGACTGTGCTCTACATTTAGGAGTATCAAAGGTTTAGTCCATCGCATAAGACTGACTGTAATTACATTCATTGCTGAACATGGGACACATGGTAGAAGTCAATAAGCAGAATTGGAAACTTCACCCCATGATTTCCCGTCTCTGCCCACCTCCTCACACCAGGTCAGTAAGGAGAGAATTCATATTATCTTGATCCTAAAGGGCAAGGTGAGGTGAAAAGGGGAGATCTAGCAGTTGGGTCTGTTTCCCTTTCAATTTCTGCTCTTCACGTTAAATGCTGATGAGCAAGAAGTATAGAAAGGCCCAAATTAAGCTACATAAAAATTCCTCACTATTTCCTCCTATTCCAAATGAGATAATCAGTGATTGTTAGAATCCAAAGAGACCTTTGAATTCAACCCCTTAATTTTGCAGGTGAAGAAATCAAGGCCTAAGAAGTTAGGTAGCTTCTTAGCTTCCTGCCACCTGTGCTCCAGATATGCATCCTCAAACACTCCTGTTGCTTAAGGAATTTATCTCCCCCTACTTCTCATCTCCAGTGTTAGCAATTTTCTCTAAATAAAGTAAGAGCTGAAACAGTCATATCTTGCTGAAGACAGTAGTACTGTCTAGTTTCTTTAAATCCCCATTTTTAAAAAGTATCTACAGTCCCAGGAAAAGAAGCACACATTGAAAGGCTTCAAGGGAGAAACAGGTCACAACAATTCAAATGGAAAATGGGTGACTGAGTCTCTGAAAAAAAATTCACCTTCTGATCTAAATGTTAATCAATAGCCCCACACCACTAACATTTTGCACTGTCTCTTTCATTAATGCCTTCTTACTTCTAGAGTTCTGGTAGTGTACTGCCTAAGGCATTTAGCTGCTAACCAGAAGGCTGGCGATTCAAACCCACCAGCCACTCCTCAGAAGGAACGTTGGGCAATCTACTTCCATAGTGACACGGCCTCAGAAACCCAAGGAGGGGTTGCTGAGTCAGGTCTCGCATATAACAACAACATTAAGAAGCTTTGTCTCTATTTTTAGCCATTTTTTTTTTTTTTTTTAGAGTTTTCAGTAAAAGGGGGAGGAAAGTTTAACTAGTGAGTACATTTAAGTTGCTTTTTTAAATTCCTATTTTTATACCTACTTTTTCCTAAAATTATGTGAAGCCATAATTATTTCAGCTCATTGTAAATGATAGCTAGGTGATATACTATTAGACTTCCACAACAATGATTTAGTAATTTATAGTTTCTATATACGAGCACTGTTACTTTTACAACCGATTCAGGTGACTCATGTTATTCTACACTATGAGTAGACGGATATCTATTTATTAAGTAGTGTTGATTTCATGAATGAAAAATTAGAAAAATTATAGACATCACTGCAAAAGCATATGGAATTTTGGAGGCGGGGCAAGATGGCGGACTAGGCAGAAGGATTGCACAGACCCTCTTCAACAAAGAAAAGGGAAACCAATAAATACAGACACAGAAGATAAT